GGGGGGGGTGCAAATCGAAAGTTTGAGGGGGGGGGGAGCAAATCGAAAGTTTGTCCCCGGGTAAAAAATGGACCCTCCCCCCTTGAGACGATCCTGGCTACGCCACTGTTACTGATATCAAGCCTGTGAGGCTTTTGTAATAAGAAAATGCGTTAAAAACACTTTTTAGTTATGCTTTTTTTTTAAAATAGGCCTACATTTTACAATAACGTCATCGTAATGAGCAATAAAATGAACTTAAAAAACTTTTGAATACACTTGTTTCGGCTAACATGAATGTTATTCTTCAAACTAGTAATGTTAAAGATGTCTTTTTCACATTTTCGACTTATAAGCAATACAGTAAATTCCGATAACGTCCATATGCATACAAGCAGTGCCGTAGGCAAGGAGGGGGTTTAATAGCTCTTACCAACCACTCCTTCCTTTAAAATGCTGGAGTATCTTAATACGAATGATAATTTCTTAACCCTCTACTGAACATCATGTTTGGTACCTTGTCCCCGGCAGCTGGGTGGATTTGGATTACACCCATTGTTTACTTCATAGTTGTAACAGTTGAATGTAGAGGAATGTATGTTTCGAGTGTGTATCTTAAAAAATGCGATATGGATCTAAAATGCAAGGTGGGTGTGCGCATGCGCTAAGGAAAGGAAGGAGAGAGGTAGATAAAGCGCGAACAACATGGCGATGTTTGGGAGTGAAGGCGATGTTCTTCTTATGAACCAATAAAATTATGGAAATTACAGGAACAAGGGTTGATTTTTGTTTTGAGTGTGTGCCATGAAATAGGTAGGAGAAAAAAAGCTGTGACATTTTGGTGTCAGAAGTGAACGGTGCTCCGCACTGTAAAGGAAAGAATTAGATCTAGAATCTAGATTTATTATTGTTGATATTTTACTTTTTTTAGTAACTGAATAACTTTTCTTGGACCATTAAGATGGAGGACTATGCCAAATTCATTGAGTTGGCTGATTCGTTAGGATACACTGGGGCAGAAAAGGCCAAATGGGTTGAAAATAAAATATCTGATGCAGCTGAAAGGGAAGAAAGAGCTTTAGAGAGGGAATTAGCTAAAGCTAAAATAGAGGCTGAGAAGGAAAAAATTTAAATAGAGGCCGAAGACAAAAACAGAGACAACATGAGCTAGAAGACAGAGAAAAACAGACAACATGAGCTAGAATTAGCCAAAATTAAAAGTAACCAATCTCAAGAAAGCAATGTCAACAAAACGGAAAATTGGAAGCCTAAATTCAGAGAATTTAAACCACAGGAAGAAAGTGTGGAAACTTACTTACTACTCTTTGAGCAAACATGTAAGAGTTTTAACTATTCATCTGCTAGTAAGCACAGGCTTTATTGACTAATTTGACAGGAGAGACTATTGCTGTAATAGATTGGAAACACTGACGACAGAAACCATGCTGTTTGTATATAGATTTTATTGGGCCTCAGCTAACATGATGGAAACCGGAACATGAAGTAACGATAGATAAATACAAGGGACATCACTCAATAACAACATTATAAATATAACTAATACAAGAAGAGTGAGTTCCCTTGACTTCACAAATCTCAATATATTACATCCCTTTACCCTTAGTAAACAACAACACATCTCTCAATAGAACAATTGATAGTATCCTAAAATCACCAAATATATTGTAACATGAACATTATGGTAGATTACACCCTTACAAACAATGCACAATATGCTACAACATAATCAAGATACAAAACAATTATGTCAAAGTCCTTTTGACCTTTAAAATCATAGGTCTAACTTATCTGGGACTTTGATTGTCCTGTTTGACCTTCTCAGTGGCTTTTGATTTGGTGACTCAAGATTCTGACCATATGGATTCTCTATCTCAGGAGGTCTAGGATCTAAATCATTAATTCCAGAATTTACATTTTCTGACTCTAGACTACTTGGTTCTGGAACAAACTGAGTTGGTATGAACTGATCAGATTCGGTGGGATTGATAGATTCACACTTATTATCTGCACAAGTTATTTTTAACTGGTCTGCATGTCTACGGACAATAAGTCCATCATTTGTTTTTACTTTACAAGACACAGGTCCTGTACATTAAACAATTTGACCTGGTTTCCATTTTTCCTCTCTCCCATAATTTCTCAGATACACATTATCATTAACTGCAAATTCTCTTTCAATGGATGTTTTGGGACTGTCCAACATCCTGTCATACAGGCTAGGACTGTCCAACATACTGTCTGTCATACAGGCTAGGACTGTCCAGCATACTGTCATACAGGCTAGGACTGTCCAACATACTGTCTGTCATACAGGCTAGGACTGTCCAACATACTGTCATACAGGCTAGGACTGTCCAACATACTGTCATACAGGCTAGGACTGTCCAACATACTGTCTGTCATACAGGCTAGGACTGTCCAACATACTGTCTGTCATACAGGCTAGGACTGTCCAACATACTGTCATACAGGCTAGGACTGTCCAACATACTGTCATACAGGCTAGGACTGTCCAACATACTGTCTGTCATACAGGCTAGGACTGTCCAACATACTGTCTGTCATACAGGCTAGGACTGTCCAACATACTTATATACAGGCTAGGACTGTCCAACATACTGTCTGTCATACAGGCTAGGACTGTCCAACATACTGTCTGTCATACAGACTAGGACTGTCCAACATACTGTCATACAGGCTAGGATTGTCCAACATACGGTCTGTCATATTAGCTAGGACTGTCCAACATACTGTCATACAGGCTAGGACTGTCCAACATACTGTCATACAGGCTAGGACTGTCCAACATACGGTCTGTCATATTAGCTAGGACTGTCCAACATACTGTCATACAGGCTAGGACTGTCCAACATACTGTCTGTCATACAGGCTAGGACTGTCCAACATACTGTCATACAGGCTAGGACTGTCCAACATACTGTCTGTCATACAGGCTAGGACTGTCCAACATACTGTCATACAGGCTAGGACTGTCCAACATACTGTCTATCATACAGGCTAGGACTTTCCAACATACTGTCTATCATACAGGCTAGGACTGTCCAACATACTGTCATACAGGCTAGGACTGTCCAACATACTGTCTGTCATACAGGCTAGGACTGTCCAACATACTGTCTGTCATACAGGCTAGGACTGTCCAACATACTTATATACAGGCTAGGACTGTCCAACATACTGTCTGTCATACAGGCTAGGACTGTCCAACATACTGTCTGTCATACAGGCTAGGACTGTCCAACATACTGTCTGTCATACAGGCTAGGACTGTCCAACATACTGTCATACAGGCTAGGACTGTCCAACATACTGTCATACAGGCTAGGACTGTCCAACATACTGTCATACAGGCTAGGACTGTCCAACATACTGTCATACAGGCTAGGACTGTCCAACATACTGTCTGTCATACAGGCTAGGACTGTCCAACATACTGTCATACAGGCTAGGACTGTCCAACATACTGTCATACAGGCTAGGACTGTCCAACATACGGTCTGTCATATTAGCTAGGACTGTCCAACATACAGACCACAACCTGAGAAAACAAAAGCCATTACAGAAGCACCCAAACCTGAAAATACCCAACAACTAAGAGCTTTTTTGGGCTTGATAAATTACTATGCGAAGTTCATAGGGAATCTGTCTGGTAAACTATCACCACTGTACAAGCTGCTGCAGAAAAATGCAACTTGGCACTGGGGTAAACAACAAGATGCTGCTTTTAATGCAGCAAAAGAAGCTTTGTCTTCTGACACCTTACTAACTCACTATGACCCAGGGAAAAGACTTATCTTAACATGTGATGCTTCACCTGATGGTGTAGGAGCAGTCTTATTCCACATAGATGAAAAGGGTGACAGACCCATTGCTTTTGCCAGTAGATCTTTGAACCAGGCTGAGAAAAATTATTCTCAGTTAGATAGGGAAGGCTTAGGCATCATTTTTGGTGTTAAGAAATGTAGGGCTACGTGACTGTGCTTGTGAGTGTCATACAGGCTAGGACAGTCCAGCATACTGTCTGTCATACAGGCTAGGACTGTCCAACATACTGTCTATCATACAGGCTAGGACTGTCCAACATACTGTCTATCATACAGGCTAGGACTGTCCAGCATACTGTCTGTCATACAGGCTAGGACTGTCCAACATACTGTCTATCATACAGGCTAGGACTGTCCAACATACTGTCTGTCATACAGGCTAGGACTGTCCAACATACTGTCATACAGGCTAGGACTGTCCAACATACTGTCATACATTCTAGGACTGTCCAACATACTGTCTGTCATACAGGCTAGGACTGTCCAACATACTGTCATACAGGCTAGGACTGTCCAACATACTGTCATACATTCTAGGACTGTCCAACATACTGTCTGTCATACAGGCTAGGACTGTCCAACATACTGTCATACAGGCTAGGACTGTCCAACATACTGTCTGTCATACAGGCTAGGACTGTCCAACATACTGTCATACAGGCTAGGACTGTCCAACATACTGTCATACAGGCTAGGACTGTCCACCATACTGTCATACAGGCTAGGACAGTCCACCATACTGTCATACATGCTAGGACTGTCCAACATACTGTCTGTCATAGGGCTAGGATTGTCCACCATACTGTCATACAGGCTAGGACTGTCCACCATACTGTCATACAGGCTAGGACTGTCCACCATACTATCATACATTCTAGGACTGTCCAACATACTGTCTGTCATACAGGCTAGGACTGTCCAACATACTGTCATACAGGTTAGGACTGTCCAACATACTGTCTGTCATACAGGCTATATATAACGCTTTAAAATGCTTTATGTAAATAGACATAGAGACATACAGATGCTCAACAGACACAGACAGACTCGCATACACACTCAGACACTCACAAGCACAGACACATAGCCCTAAAGACGGATGTGTTAAACTATGTAGGTGATTCACCTCGAACTCAAACTTTGTTAACTCACTAATTGATTGTTTACATTTCAAGCTTTATTATGTTATGGCAAAGATAACCACATTATTTTCTCTTCAGTATTATAATTAATACAACAAAATGAAAAAAAATAAAAATAAACAGGCATGTTACAGGTAGTGGCTAATAGGAAGCAAAACATGTTTTCACAAAAAGACAATGGTGTTTTTATTAATTAATTTAATCAAGTTTCAAGTGGGTCACATCTCTTTTCATCAATACCTCAAAGTCCTTTTTGCTGTAGGATATAATTTGTATCTGAACAAAGCATTATAGCAATATGTATCATCACTTTTTAGTCCTACACTCTAATCATAATGATATAGAAATAAATTAAGGAGGCTTAGCTTTCGGTTAAACTTTTATTAGTATTTTTCTCAATACAACATCGTTTTTAATTAACTAGCCGGAGAATTTTCCTTGGAAGAAAATGTGTCCGGACACTTTGTCTCTGATGAAGTACAGGAAAGGATGGTCCGCTTTGAACTCACGAAAGGCTGCCCGTTCCACGATGGAAACTACGGTAGCTGCAGCAGCGACAGTCCCCGTTTCCATGACAACGATCTTCGTTTTGTGAATCACTTTGTCGATAACAGCATCAGCTGAAGGATTTAAACCATTGCGTGTAAATATAGGCACTCATGTAGAGGTGAATTTATTAATACACGAAGTAGTTATGTTGCATTTACATCTGCAATATTATTGCTTTAATATTACAGCTAATTCAGTTTTTGTTCAGAGAGGAATAATGAAATTAAGCAAGAGTCATTAATTATATTATATTTTATAAACATACTATAATTGGTTATTGTTTTCTTTCTTTTTTTAAAATTACAATATCAATTGGTAATGAGGTTTACGATAATTGTAATTAGATGAGAAAACGAAGTTCCTAATAAATAGAAATACATTTACCACGTTTTACCATTCCAGAAAAGTCCGCTGAATTAAAAGCTTTCACCATACCCAGGTCTATCAAAATCTGGCTTAGCTCAACTTCTGTCTCTGTGGTAAATTTAGGAATGCTGACAGACATAAAAGTTTGTTCCAAGCCTGTGAACAGTTCATCGGCCTTCCCAGGGGTAGCCAGCAGTTGTTCTGTAGGAAAATAGAGATTTTTGTGTGAACAGCAGCAATATAAGATATACAGTTTCTTACAATCAGTTGGTTTATCGTACGCTTACATATAATATATATTATAATATAATATAATATAATGTATACACAAATATACATATACATCTACATATTCATTATTTATAAATAAGCATACATATATACAAACACCCATATATAGATACATATATATATATATATATATATATATATATATATATATATATATATATATATATATATATATATATATATATATATATATATATATTGTATTTGAGTATTCGCTTTTTTCTTGCTTTCCTTGCAAACGTTGACCCAATGAGGCTAATGATAACTGCCATTGCTAATGCTTTATTTCAGCTTGAATCTTTAATACTTTTTAAAAGCAAGGCAGTGGCAGTTAAATTATGAGCAAGACAACATTTTCCTCGCAAATTTTTTCTATTGAGTTACCTAAACCAATAATTCCATCCACCTCATTGGGCAGTGCAACGAACAAACTAAATCTTGATCCCTTAAACGGCAGCTCGGCCACATCAACTTTGTTAGTGGCGTCTTCCTTGTAGAAGATCTCGAAGTCGCCATTCATCATGTTGACCTAAAGGAGCAGACATGTGCTCAAGTGAAAACAGGATAAACTAAACAGTATTGAATATAGACTTAGTTATTTCTTGGAAAGGAAGGGGGGTGACAACACGAAGTACCGCACCGGGTGATACCCGACCTAATGTAGAAACGCACTTGATTTTGACGCAATTTGTTCCCATTGAATTTAGACTCAATTCTTATATTGTATGTTAAAGTTTCTGTATACGTATAGCCTTCATGTGTGCGTTCATTTGCGATTATGTATATATGGGTACGTTTTCGTATGTCTAACACTAATATTTGTTCAAGAGTGTATGTGTGTATAGTGTTTATGTACGTACAACAATGAATAACCCAGCATGCTTATAAAAACATGTGTCCAAGACAAACATTTAAAATGCTTACCTTACTGACTAGACCGCCAGTCTTGTAGAAGCTTTCAGGACGTGTGTTTTGTTTGGGGAACTGAGACTTCCAGGTACCGTTAAAGAAAAGTGTGTTCACCAGCAGCATGACTGTATTTTGTTTGATGAAATCTGGAATAAGAATGTAGATTTTTTTTTACTTTTAAAAAAACAATCATTAACTATACTGATCTGGTCTTGATATAATAAAATAGTATAGTAAAAATACTATAACAAAATGAAGTACCGTAGACTTTAAAATTCCGGACCGTAGTCGTAGCAGTGGTGGAACTAGAAATAAAATCTACCTCACAAAAACATTTTTACGCCCCCCCCCCCCCAATATATATATATATATATATATATATATATATATATATATATATATATGAGTGTGTGTTTGTGTGTGTAACTTGCTTCGCTAAATTTTAAAGTTCTTAATTTTTTGTAATTTAACCTATTTCATTGCGTAGAATATCCACCCTGAGAAAACAAACCAGAAATAACTATGTCCAAACTCATTCCCTGCCTGAAATATTCATGTTTAAAATTTTTGTATCGTATTTCATATTTACCGAATAAAATAAATCGTCAATATTCCAAGCCGGTACCAAGAGGTACATAAACGCTTAAGTTTGATTTGTGTAATCGTTTCTTGCGTTCTGTTTATTTTTAAGATTTTTAAAAATTTACTTTATCAATTTTAAATACATTTCTTTTTATACCTGTATCATTCTATAGTATGTCTTTTTTAATTATAATTAAGAGAAGCCATTGCTTTTTTAATTCATTTTATATAAAACTATTTAAAGAAGTTTTATGATCAACCCTATTCGACTATTTAAACAAGGGCAATAAATAATGGAAGTAATATGAACCTTCGTCTATCTCACACTAAAGCTAATGTCGATTTTTAAATATTTTTCTACGCAACAGTGTCTTTTAGTTACTGCAGACCAATTACTGGTATAGTAGACGTGTGTGTTGTTTGTATTTTCACCGAATGCCTATCAAGGTGCACAAAAAAGCATTATTTATAAGAAAAACTTTTTTTTTTGGTTCGGATTTTTGTCACATAAATAGCCTGCCCCCCCCCCCCCCACCCCCCGTATTTTGGGGTCTGGCAGCGTGGCCTGAGCAGTTTAAAAAAAGTAATTTAACGAATCTCGCTAAGCTGGTGTACATCACCTTTCTTCAGGGTGTTCATAATTGTGTTTTTCGTCGCCCGGTAAATGTAGTCGTTGATTTTCCTTTCTGGGCCACCAGGGGCAGATAAGTCAAAGTAATCTGCCTTGGCGAAGTAATAGTCCCTGACATCGGTAACAAACTGGGGCACGATCGTGTACCTTGGGTTGACAAAAATGGCGTTTCCCGTGTTTATCTCAACATCCGTATTAGAGTTCAGCTATAGAATTGGAGGGGGGGGGGGGAATAACGAATACAAATGTAATACATAGATACTACTTGTATTAAGATATAGTTTGGGATACAAGGAAAAGTAATAACAATAGATACGCATAAATTGCATTTATTTAAATGGGTCGACGTAAAATTTGCCTTAAATACATTTACCCAAGTACAGCTTAGCAAAAGGTCTTATTCTCAAATTATTGTTTGCCAGAACGGACACCCCAACATGTTTTTTTCTGACGAAAATCTAAACTCCACTGTACCTGTGTTATAAGTTAAATCTAAACTCCACGGTACCAGTGTTATAAGTTAAAATCTAAACTCCACTGTACCAGTGTTATAAGTTAAAATCTAAACTCCACTGTACCAGTGTTATAAGTTAAAATCTAAACTCCACTGTACCAGTGTTATAAGTTAAAATCTAAACTCCACTGTACCAGTGTTATAAGTTAAAATCTAAACTCCACTGTACCAGTGTTATAAGTTAAAATCTAAACTACACTGTACCAGTGTTATAAGTTAAAATCTAAACTCCACTGTACCAGTGTTATAAGTTAAAATCTAAACTCCACTGTACCAGTGTTATAAGTTAAAATCTAAACTCCACTGTACCAGTGTTATAAGTTAAAATCTAAACTCCACTGTACCAGTGTTATAAGTTAAAATCTAAACTCCACTGTACCAGTGTTATAAGTTAAAATCTAAACTCCACTGTACCAGTGTTATAAGTTAAAATCTAAACTCCACTGTACCAGTGTTATAAGTTGAAATCTAAACTCCACTGTACCTGTGTTATAAGTTAAAATCTAAACTCCACTGTACCTGTGTTATAAGTTAAAATCTAAAATCCACTGTACCAGTGTTATAAGTTAAAATCTAAACTCCACTGTACCTGTGTTATGAGTTAAAATCTAAACTCCACTGTACCAATGTTATAAGTTAAAATCCAAACTCCACTGTACCAGTGTTATAAGTTAAAATCTAAACTCCACTGTACCAGTGTTATAAGTTAAAATCTAAACTCCACTGTACCTGTGTTATAAGTTTAATCTAAACTCCACTGTACCAGTGTTATAAGTTGAAATCTAAACTCCACTGTACCTGTGTTATAAGTTAAAATCTAAACTCCACTGTACCAGTGTTATAAGTTAAAATCTAAACTCCACTGTACCAGTGTTATAAGTTAAAATCTAAACTCCACTGTACCTGTGTTATAAGTTAAAATCTAAACTCCACTGTACCTGTGTTATAAGTTAAAATCTAAACTCCACTGTACCTGTGTTATAAGTTAAAATCTAAACTCCACTGTACCTGTGTTATAAGTTAAAATCTAAACTACACTGTACCTGTGTTATAAGTTAAAATCTAAACTCCACTGTACCTGTGTTATAAGTTAAAATCTAAACTCCACTGTACCTGTGTTATAAGTTAAAATCTAAACTACACTGTACCAGTGTTATAAGTTAAAATCTAAACTCCACTGTACCTGTGTTATCAGTTCCTTGTAGATTGTATGGACGGCAGGACCAAGAGAGCTGACCCCAAGAGTTTCTGCCATTTCTGTGGCAGTTTCCCCGCGGGCACCAAGTGACGTCATGGATAGGGCTGAATGAATGCTGGAATACAAGAACATGAGATCAGGCACGGGGGGGGGGAGCCAAGGTACCATCTTATGCAAGCCCGCACATAACACAGACACACACATAGATTCACAAACACCGATACATATAACCACACACTAACACATAAACACACGTACCTATACCAAGAAACGTGTTACCTGTAGGGGGAATAGACGACATTGCCTCTGTTCAGCGCCACCTTCTGGTACAGTCTCTGTGAGAAGCCAGAGGTCGCAGCCGACAGTGCCAGTTGCTGTTGAGGATCCGCGGCGACCAGCTGACCCACTATGGCCAGAATCACAGCAATGTAAGTCTTCATGTCACTGTGGTGTAAGCAATAGACCTCGTTAGCTGACCAGCTATGGCCAGAATCACAACAATGTAAGTCTTCATGTCGCTGTGGTGTGAGCAATAGACCTCGTTAGCTGACCAGCTATGGCCAGAATCACAACAATGTAAGTCTTCATGTCACTGTGGTGTGAGCAATAGACCTCGTTAGCTGACCAGCTATGGCCAGAATCACAACAATGTAAGTCTTCATGTCACTGTGGTGTGAGCAATAGACCTCGTTAGCTGACCAGCTATGGCCAGAATCACAACAATGTAAGTCTTCATGTCGCTGTGGTGTGAGCAATAGACCTCGTTAGCTGACCAGCTATGGTCAGAATCACAACAATGTAAGTCTTCATGTCGCTGTGGCATGAGCAATAGACCTCGTTAGCTGACCAGCTATGGCCAGAATCACAACAATGTAAGTCTTCATGTCGCTGTGGTGTGAGCAATAGACCTCGTTAGCTGACCAGCTATGGCCAGAATCACAACAATGTAAGTCTTCATGTCGCTGTGGTGTGAGCAATAGACCTCGTTGCATTAGCTCATTGGTAGCGAGGGGGGACGGGGGGTGTGGACCGCACCGGGTGACACCATTTAGGGGGGTGACACCAAGGCAAAAAAATAGCAAAATATATAGAGAAAAACTTGAGGGGGGATGCAAATCGAAAGTTTGAGGAGGGGGGTGCAAATCGAAAACTTGAGGGGGGGGGGGGGTGGAAATCGAAAGTTTGAGGGGGGGGGGGTAACAAATCGAAAACTTGAAAGTTTGTCCCCGGGAAGGTTCGCTACGCCTCTGGGGGTGACACCATTAAGTGCCGCACCGAGTGACACTCGACCTCGCTACGCCACTGATTGGTAGTTTATTAAGTTATAAAAAATATATTTTATATTACTTTATTTAATATGTATACAACTTATAGCATTTTATACAGTAGCGTACGCAGGGGGGGAGCAGGGGGAGCGGCCGCTCCCCCTCTAGCCATTTTCAGCAAAGTGGCGCCTTTTTGGAAACTTTTTAAACTCAAAGATTTAAACAACGATATTTGTTAAAAAAATATTTTTGGTTGGCACATCTATGTAAATCACAAGTTTTCTTTTCATGCAGCAATTAAGCATTATTGTACTAGTCTAGTAGTGTCTACGTTTACAACACCCGACCTAGCTACGCCACTGTATATATGTATGTTTAGGAAAGTCATCTAAAAACTGACGCTATATTCACTCTGAGTTGGTTATCTCCCCCCCCCCCCACACACACTTCAGCACCACAATTGTGTAGAGCGACATTAATGTCACACCTAGGTATACACTGGGTTGGATAATTGACCTAAAGTGACCGGACAGTGGTGAATGAAGTTGAACCCCCCCCCCCCTACCCACCCCCGAACTGATCTGTTAAGTACATGTAGAAAAACGCGTAATGATGTACCAAAGTACCATGCCGCCAGAAAATTAGCTTTTTAAACGTAAAACTCTGTGAATATTGTTTTTGCAATTACCAGTAAAAAGGTGTGTGATCAATACAGTGATCTAACCCATACCTATCACTATGTTAAATAAACCGGGAGTGATCTCCCCTAAACTTTCTCGAATATTCTAATATAACTCTACGTGGGATGTCAACTCGGAATATAGACATGATTTTTGTTTACTTAAACTTTTAAAAATAGAAAAAAATCTAGTAGAAAAAAAAATTGCGCACCAAGCGAGCACCAAAACCAAATGTGCGTAATAGTGTGCAATATTATTAGTACTTTATAAATTTACATGCGTTTTTTGAGAAATCGGAAATAGCGTAAATTAGTACTTCCGGTCAACGGAAATTACTCAAAATTTAATAGAAGGTAGAGAATTAGATCTTTTACTTACATGTGAAATTTCATTTATCTATCTGAATTAGTACTCAAGTTATAGGCTTTTGAAAAATTCAAAGTAGAAAAAGTATCACTTCCGGTTATCGGAAATCGCTCAAAAGTTGATACGGATCTACGATTTCGATATAATACTTATATATGAAATTTCATCAACCTAGCTGTAACGGTACTCAAGTAATCGTGTTTACACACAGACAGACACACAGACACACAGACACACACACACACAGACATACGGACAAGATTGCAAAATTATGTTTTTCCGTATCAGTGAGGTGTAAAACGTCGAGATTTGTAAAAATCTCGATTTTTTTTTGCACGATTACAATACTTTCTCTATACTACGTATATACGAGAAAGTAAAAATGATCTTTAAAGAACACAAAGAAGCAGTAGTTAATTAAAAATATATGATCTGAACTAAAAGACCGGAATTTAGTTAAATGTAGACTGTTATTCCGAATGTTTTTCTATATTACGAAAAGCGTGGTTTTGTACAATCTCTGATTTAAAAAAACTTTCATTATGCTGTAATACTTTAGCATTTATGATGACGATATATTAAATTTTGATTATAGACAAAAAAAATTTGTAAACACGAATAGTGTTAAACAATTTGATTATATTCTAAAGTATTTATTTATTTGTTTTGAAATTTATAATCAAATGTGTAGATATATACATATTTATACTAAGAGAGTGATTATTTCCCCTATTTCACTTGTCTTAAATAATTTCCCAGGAATTATTTTGTAAGAAAATTTTTTACAAGAATTACAAAATAGATTGTGTTACGTTCATTGTTTTTGGTTGTAGTGTGTGTATATTTTTTTGTTCAGATTGATACAATTTTTGTTTTGTCGGCCTACATTGTGTGTTTTTTCTTATTTCTTAAGAGTGCTACTTTCAGTTTATTTTACATCATAGCGAAGTAATAACATACAGCTAGTAATATATATATATATATATATATATATATATATATATATATATATTTAAAATACACGTATATAGAACGTGTTAAAAATTAGGCGCCTTCTTTTGCTCTTTTCGCTCCCCCTACAACGAAAACCTGGATACGCCTCTGATTTTATATGAGAATGTTTTAGTTGGGTCTTTTACTTTTAGTGTTAAAGCCATTGTATCATTTGATTTTTAAACTTCCTGCAGTTACTTCCAAAATAAAAAGCATTGTAATCATGAAAATGTCGAAAAAAAATTATGTGAAATACATTATTTTTCGAATTCGCATTTTTAAAAATTAAAATTGTCTTTAATTTCAAAATTTTTGTTGATGGCTTATAAAACATAATGTGAAAATTGTAAGCTGATACCGTAAGCAACTTATTCCACAACACATTCACTCAACACCTACCTTGTTAGACGAACTGACTGGAGTTTGTGTTACATATGGTAATATATTCTGTCCGTGCGACAGCTGCTAATTAGTTTAGTTTTTTTTTATTTTAGCGGTGTAAACAGATCGAAGCGGTCTGGGTCAGGCCAAACTTAACGCACGCTTTATCATTGTCACGGTGGAAATTAAAATATCAAACATGTTATTACGCTTTATTTATAGGTGCCTTGCGTTCAATTAAAATATTCTCTGGCGTTTCTAAAATAAACCGGGAGTGATCTCCCCTAAACTTTCTCGAATATTCTAATATAACACTACGGGGGATGGCAACTCGGGATATAGACTTCTAGACATGATTTTTAATCCATTTTAAACACTCAAATTTTTAAATATAGAATATAATCTCGTAGAAAAAAGAAATGCACACCAAGTGAACGCTAAATAAAGATGTGCATAATAGTGCGCAATATTATTAGTACTTTATAAATTTACATGCGTTTTTGAGAAATCGGAAGTAGCGTAAATAAGTACTTCCGTTATACGAAAATGACTCAAAATTTGACAGAAGATAGAGAATTAGATCTTCTACGTACGTATCAAATTTCATTTATCTATCTGAAATAAAACTCAAGTTATAGGCTTTTGAAAAATTCAAAGTAGAAAAAGTACCACTTCCGGTTATCGGAAATCGCTCAAAGGTTGATACGGATCTACGATTTTGATAAAATACTTATATATGAAATTTCATCAACCTAGCTGTAACGGTACTCAAGTTATCGTGTTTACACACGGACACACACGGACAGAATTGGATAATCCAGTTTTTCCAACTCCATTACGCATAAAACGCCAAAATTTTTATATATCTGAGTTTATAATTTTTGCCCGATTAAAATAAGTCTTCTATATCCCGGATGTGATGAAGGACTGAGGAGTAAAACGGTGAAAACTGTCCAAATTTAATGTGATTTTTTTGCACGATTACAAGACTTTCTCTATACTTCGTATATACGAGAAAGTAAAAAAAGTTTGGGAAATTTTAACAAAGATTTTAATTTAAAATCTAAATTAATAGAATGTTAAAAAAATTCATAAAAAACGTTTTAATAACAAGCTTTTATGTAATGATGCACTAAAAAGTAGAAAATAAATTATAGACTACTATTTAAATAACTATAAAGAAAAGCGTGGGTCACTTTAGTATCTATTGGATACCTTTACTAATGTTAAGGAAGACACCCACGCTTTTCTTTATAGTTATTTAAATAGTAGTCTATAATTTATTTTCTACTTTTTAGTGCATCATTACATAAAAGCTTGTTATTAAAACGTTTTTTATGAATTTTTTTTTCAGTACTTTACATGTTTTATTTACAACAGAGTTACATGACTAAAAACCATTGCGCGCCTTCTGAACATCACGTTCAGTAGGCGCGCAATGGTTTTTGAACGCAGCCATTACGTGATGGCGCAGCTATTGAAGGTGATGACGCGTGTGGTGTGGTTGGCTAGACCTGCCTACTAATTCGGTCCAAATTTTTATTAATTCATAAAAAATTAATTAGGCATCCGATTAAGTCAAATTTAGTTTCAGATTGCATTGTCTTCATGTCTTGACCCACGTGCCAACTGTGAATCGTATCGGTCAAGTAGAACTGTCCGAATTTTCACTCCTGCGTTTCCGTCTAGACAGACTGACGACAGACTGACGACAGACTGACGAGGAAGTGAGTTAAATAAAAGCTTGTAAAAAGTAATTCATTTCGAATCAATTATCATATTACGTTTTTTTAAAGAAAGGAAACAAAAAAAAAACTATAAATCAAACAATTGTCAGTATGTTATACATATATGGTATATATATATATATATATATATATATATATATATATATATATATATATATATATATATATATATATATATATATATATATCATACTGTTTGTCTGAAAATTCTCTTGTAGAAATAGTGTCCTGTTGTTCACATACATTGTTGATCCAAGATTCTAGTTATTTGGATAATTTCCACTATATAAAAATATTGCCCATACATTTCAAAAGCTTTGGTAAGAGGCTAACAGGCTAACAATGGTGGTGGTGCGTCGCGTTTGAAATTAATGCTGACAGCTAAGTTAGCTTACACAGGCTAAGTTTTAGAATACCGATAATTAAAATTCGATTCGCGATACTGATTAAAAAGAGCCGACTAATTAAATATGGTAAAAGCGTAGGTTGTTAAATACATTACAACGATTTCTGGAGAGACCCGATCGTTCACTAATATGCCTATAATATTTTTTTTAAATTTACAAAGTACCAGATTTAGTGCATACATGAATAATAATACTCAGTAAATACTTATTAATGATTGTTCTAAACTTTAGCTATCTTGTCTGCCGTTTTAAAAATAAAATCGTCAAAATGAGATACCCTGATTGTTTTCGTGGTTATTTTCTTGTCTACTTCAGAAATCAATCTCAGCGTGTAATAACAACAACATAATAAATAAACATCCGCAATTTTCATCATCATCATTTCCCGTTCGTGCCCAAGACACACGGGGCAGCTGAAGTAGATGTCATCTGCTTCAGAGACCTCGACGAAGGGATAGTATGGTCAGCACTTTGCCCAGCTGCCTTTGTTTCCCTAACATAAGTAAGGTACCCATCAGAGCTAAGTGGACTCAAGGAAGTTCCATTTATCTGAACTCGAGAGTCTCGGGTTAGCAGTCTAGGTCTCTACCAGTAGACCACGCTACAATAGCATTTCATTCTAAATAAAAATATCATTTGTTTAACGTTAACCACACAGATTAGTGTTTAGATTAAAAGCTAGTTTGTAAATTATGGTTAGATCTAGAGTTAAAATTACCTATTTTTGGATAAACGATTTTTGTGGTGAGGCTTGCCGCACTGGTAGAATTCAACATTTTCCTCAAAGGTTTAGATAGACTGCTTACACTAAGTTTCATCGGATTCGCTAATACGATGCTTGAAAACTTAACGAATCCAAATTTTAATGTCAACCCATGTGGCGAAAGTAGAAAAAATGTTAGGTTTTTGTTCTTTTTTTTTTATTTTTTCGTGTGTTTGAAATACTGTAACAGAAGGTTTACCGTCTACCATCACAAGCAATTCATAAATCTAACAAATGACGCATTCTTTTATTTTTAGCGCAATTTCCATTCTGGAGAATTGCGTTTATTAACGCGTCATTTCTGGATGGATGGATGGATGGATGAATGTATGGATGAATGTGTGTCCGGACTTTAAGTCGTATCTCCTCCTCAACGAAGCAATATCGATGACTAGTTCCAAAAGCAATTATGTTAAGCAAGTTACAAGAATGAGCATAGGCCATAAAAATTCCGGGTTTCTTTCATGTATTTCCCGGAAAAGCCAAAAAACCTCGAAAAAAAGCAGTTTTTGGCCCATATCTCGTCAACCAGACCACTTAGCGACTTGAAACATGTACCAATCGATTCCTGCCATAATTTAGAGCAATATTGCCGAAGAAAGTTTTCAAAAATATCCTCTCGTTTGGTCACAAATTTTAAAATTACAAAAACACCTACAAACCGATTGTTCTTCTAGCTTGAACGCATCCCAGCATTATACGTCAGAGCTATTTTTAGATAACATAAGGAAATTGCGCATAAATGTCACTAGACTTTTTTAATTAACTTGTTTTCTTTCTACAAAAATGAAAATCAGTAAGGCGGAGTCTAATACATGCGTTGGGTTTGATCAGAAGGTGTGGCTAATGTTAATTTAAAGTTCTTTGTACTTTCTCGTAAACAGAGGAAGTAGTGTAATCGTGCAAAAGAAATGGAGTATTTTTTTTCCAGATCTCGACGTTTTACACCTCGTGCACGAGGGGGGGGGGGTTACTGCCGGACAGTTATTTAAAGTATATAGAACAAACTGTTTACCGACATTGCTTGTTTCTAGACCCTTTAAACTTTATTTTCTACTCGCTGCTTAGCATTACGTATTTTGGATATAATGGGGGGGGGGGGGGGAAATGAGGAAAGGGTAAATCGATACAGAGCTGATGATTTTCGGTTTTGAAACGTGAAATGGCACACTTTCGTATGTCATTTATAAGAAATATAATCTAATAATTCTAGCCACAAATACTTCTAAAAATTAGTAGACCCAACCCAGAACCTAACTTGTAATGTCAACAAGAATTGTAACGTGCTATATTTTTTATATCTCTGTTGCTTGCGAGTTTTTTCTGCTGCATTCTACAGGTTATATCCTCTAGCTTTGCACTTATATTTCAGGGGACACCACTCTCTACTTCTCACAAGTTGCTTCATACGAAATATGATAAATGCACAATAGGCACCAAATTATTTTTTTTTATTTCAAAAATAGACCTAACTCATAACTCTCGCTAACAGATATAAAGGTACACAGATATTAACCAACTAATCCGGCTCGCGGGGGGGGGGGGGGGGCTGAAGAATTTAACCTGGAGTTTAAAATAAATATTTCTCCGGTTAGTCTTGCAGACTATTAAATTTGGGGTGTGTGTGGGACGGGGGGGGGGGGGGGGGGGGTCGGGGGAGGGAGGGGATAGGCGCGAACTTTAATTTCATTACGAAGGGGGGTGGGTGGACATTGGCGGAAGTATCCTCATCTTTTCCCGTTTGTTCTCAAAACACCTGGGGCAGATGAAGTAGAGTTCTTCTGTTACAATGACCCCAGCATATAAGGGGATATTGTGGTCATCACTATGCCTGGCCGCCATTGTTTCCCTCCCTTGAGTTAGATACCCATCAGAGCTGGGTGGACTCAGGGACGTTCTATTGGCTCGAGACTCTCAGATCAGCAGTCTATCTCTGTACCGCTACGCCACGCCGTCAACGACTGAAGTATATACTTTCTCTATATTCTTTCTGGGGATGGGGGCGAGGGGCGGTATACTTCCCCTCCCTCGGAAGAGGTGCCTGAAAGAAACCCTGGGTCAGTTCAATTGCAACCTTCACCGACATGAGTATTTCAGTATTGATTACGTGTCTTAAAAGATACCCACAGGGAGGTCTAAGCCATGCTAAGTGTACAGGCCGCGACAA